CAATGAACCTCGAGTTTTGTTAGCCTTGTGTGTTGGATGAACCTCGTCAGTGAAGACAAAGTTTGTCGTTTTAACGAACGTCATCAGTGAAGATGAGGTTCGTTGGTCAAATAAAAGCTCATTTGACACACATTGAGGATGAACCTCATCAGAATAGCCAAAACAATTGGACATATGAAGTTCAATCGACAAACGAAATTCGTCAAAAAAAACCCAGATATGTCAAGACAACGAACGTCATCGGTTCAAAAGACTTTGTCTTTCAAGTAGATTTCATCCCAGAAAGAGAGGAATTATTCATCTCCTTCAAGAAACCTAGGTTTGAAATAGACAGGGTTCATCTGTGTTAAAACGTAGATCTTGTGTTCAAATCTATTACATGAGAAAGTGGACGGAACTGTGGGATCATCTGAAGAACCAACAACTCCTTTGCCCTTGCCTTAGTTCACAACGGTTTTAGGGGCCATTGATTCAACTGGGAAGCTCTCAAAGAAGAAAAGCATAAAATTTAGGAGATGAAGGAATTTGATAACTTAAATTATCAAAAGAAGAAAAGGCTCTTTGTATGGTGACGCGATATATATAGGCGGGAGAAACTGAATCAAGAGCTGAGATCTTCGGTTGAGATTGTTAGACGAATCCACTTCCTAACGAGATCTGCAGGTGAGATCTAGGGAGGAGATTTCGAGGCACCAGTTAGCAGCTGCTTATCAAGCCTAGGAAAAGTGTTGGGTCCTTTTGTTTTGATGATGACTATTAAACAATTTACTTCTAATATTGTTTATCTAGTATTTATGTTTTCTTATTTATTGTAAAAAAATAATATGTTGGAGGATGGATGAAATCAAGTATTCACGATCATATTCAATAGAGGTTGGAGGAATAGTGGAGTGAAGCAATGCAATTCAAGTTAAAGATTCAAGTTTAAGCTTCATCCGCAAGTGTACCAAGAAGAGCTTCGTTGAAGATCACAAGCTTGGGTATATAGTTTATAGTGTTTTTAGTACATGTTAATACTTGTGTGTTAATACTTTAAGCTCATATTATTCACACACACGTATTTGGTGATTTTATCAAAATATAGGTGTTTTTGATAAAATATTATTTTATTAGTTTATAGACTTCAACATCACTTTATACATAGTGTATTAAGTCTATAAAATTATTTTACAAAGTTTCAAAACATGGTTTATGTCAAAACTTTACATTTCAAGTATATTAAGTTTGCATGTTTTGAAGATTTTTGTAAAATGATAAGTTTTCACTATTTAGAAGTGCAATTCCAAAAATTCTTTTTGTAACATGTTCATTTACATGTTTACAATGATTTTCTAAAGTTTTATATTTTTTAGAATTTATTTACTATTTTTAAGGTAATTCAAAGTTGGTTTTTACTATTCAAATCAGGCTGATACAGTGTTATCAGTCGACTGATACATGTATTCAGTCGACTGATGAAAATACCTAGAATCTTCAAAAAGCCTCTGTTTCTTTTTAGTCGACTGATCAGTTGACTGATGAGGTCATCGTTCGACTGATTAGTCGACCGATAAGCTCATAACGGCTAGTTTTGTACTATTTTCAGATTTTTAGTTTTTAACTAGTTTATTAAATATTTATTTCTCTTAAATGGGAAGTGATATTCATGAAATTATTTCTCTAACATGTTTATCTACATGTTTTGAAACTTCCTCAAAATTTCATGATTTTTGAAGTTGATTTACTATTTTTAATTGATTTTATAAAACCAGATACACAAAATTTTAGAATCTGCCAAATCTAAAACTGTCGACTTTATCAGTCGACCAACGCACTGTAGATAGTCGATTGATGGCATCTTTTCATCCTATAACGGCAAGTTCTTCAGATATTGTCTTTTTGTGAATTTTCTTGGGTTTTTACTAGATTTTGGGGTTGTTTCATGAGCCTATATGTACCCCTTGCCCTCTAACATTCTGAAGCAATTAAGAAAATTATTAAACAAGTTTAAAGCATGTTTAAAGTTTGTTTAGTATTTGCTTCAAGTTTGTGATGATATTTTCATAAGAGGAAGAAGATCTTTTGGTGTTTGAGCTTCAACTTATCTCTCTCTCTCTCTCTCTCTCTCTCTCTCTCTCTCTCTCTTGATCTATAAAGAAGTTTTTCTAAACTCTATTTCTAGCTATTTATTGTTTCGTTCATAATTTCCATAAGCTAGAATTTTATTTGAGTTTAGTTTGATTTTGATTTATTGAATCTCTTTGTTACACACACCCACTTGGCTTATATAGTATTTCATACATAGTATAATTAGGGTTGTGAGAGATTGTAACTTTAAGTTGTGCTTAATTGAGTTCTCACCTTGTTTACAGAACAATCATTTGATTAGTGAGATATTATTATGGGGTTCACTTTGTATTACACTAGTACACCAAGAGGAGTGTGTGGTGAGAGACGGGGTCATCCTAAGAGGAGTGGGGTAGGTGGTAATACCTAGAGAGAAGTTGTAATTCCTAACACTTGAGGGAGACACAGACTAGAGACAAACACTTAAGGTGATACTTAGTATGTTTACATTGTGAGTGTGTGACGCCCCTAGGTTCACACAAGGCTGCAGTCCAAGGTGAAACCAAGAATGTCAAACCTGCCATGCACCATACCGTGCAATAATATATTTCACCATCACAATTACTATCTCTCTAGTAGAGTCAATAACAGGTGTAGGTACAAAAGCAAGTAAAAGATAATACAAAAGCAAGTAAAAAATAATAGAGATCTAATAAATATTTCATCATCTAACATACTGAAATACAAGTCAATGTCTGAAATGAATAAATTGGAACGTCTCAAAAATTCTCAAATACAAATGTCTGAATAAAAAGAAACAAGGCACACAACCTTTACAACTTCTAGAATAAACTCTCAAATGTCTAGCAAAAGTCTACAGAAGAGTTCAAAAGAAAAATATAACTATAATGAACGGCTGAAGCTAAAGTGCGACGCCATCAACCTGCGACCCTCCAGGCTCTTGGCTCATTACCTAAAAGGGGGAGGGACAACGAGCGTCAAAGCTCTAGCGAGCAACATCAAAACCAACCTCAAGGAAAATGGGCTCATTATATACAGAAAAATACAGTTATAACATATATATAAAATCACAAATCCTATTTAGGTAATTACAATGTGAGCATAAGTACGTCGAGCGAAACAATCCAAATAAGGAAACCCTTATGTATATACCATGTAGCTCAGATTGTAAGTACCTATGTATAAGAGGATTTTAATATCTAGGAAGTTACAACACGAGCATAGGTATGTCGAGCGAAATAATCCAAACATGGAAACCCTCATGTATATACTATGTAGCTTAAATTGTAAGTACCTATGTATAAAAGGATTTTAGTATTTAGGAAGTTACAACACGAGCATAGGTACGTCGAGTGAAATAATCTAAACAAGGAAACCCTCATGTATATACCTTGTATCTCAAATTGTACATCCCTAAATACCAAACCCAAAATCTAATACAAGAACAATAATAAAAGAAGGCAAACTCATCTCTGACTTAATTACGATGTCGTGTCACAACTCATATAAATGTCATATCCAGCCTATGTAAGTATCAGTGTAAACTCTCAAGGTCTAAACTGATGTAATGGATTTCCAACACATGGACTGCATATGAAAACTGTCCAACACATGGACTGAAAGTGATAAATATCCAACACATGGACTACACATCATAATTGCCCAACACATGGACTAGATGAAATATATGAACATGTTCATATACCCTAATTTCTCACGTATCTCGGGGTGCAAACCTAAACTCGTGTCCGCATGTCATCTCACATGTAAAGATACAGGTTGTACATTAGTTTCTAATACAGGTTATACATTAATTTCTAATACCCGTCATTCAGGGCGACTCCTCATTCATATTTAAGCACGCAACAACAATGAACAAGCGTAAACAGTTTTAGTTAAACTGAAATAACTCAAACGGATCCAAACTGAGGAAAAACTATAAATCTACTCATCAGTTGACTCATTAGTCGACTAGGATTGGTCGACTCATTAGTCGACCAAACAAAACATAAAACTAGAATTTTCCCCATCAGTCGACTCATTAGTCGGCTCATCAGTCGACTCATAAGTCGACTCATGAGTCGACTCATTGGTCGACTGAGCAGAAAATCCCCAGTTTTCTGCTTACGATGATTATCTGCGAAAATTGATAAACTAAGGTTCTCTTTATTCATGTCCACCAATATATATTCAATTCTAACACATGTATATCAACAAAAACAAAAGATTTGCATGTATTATCTTGCATTAAAACCCTAGACATATATCTTTATGTTAAAAAAAAACATGTTGAAACCATTAAATCACAATAAAAGTCATGTTTAAACAAATTCCATATCTGGATCTAAATTTACAAATTCGTTTGTGAGCTTTTACAAACTGAAAACATTCGATTTTTGCATCATATGCTATAAAGATCTATTTTTATACACAAATAGAAAATTTAGGCTCAATAAAATCCGAAATAAAACCAAATAAAACTATACAAACAGTGGGTGTAGGGCTGGGCGAGATGTTACTCGCCTCTGATGTGCTGCAAACTCTTGAATCCGAGAGACGACGATCCCCCTTAGACAGCACCACAAAAATCCCGCTGAAAACCCCTCTGAAACTCCTCCAAAATCACCAAAAGGAACTAGGGTTTGAGTGGAGAGAGAGGCTAGGGTTTTCTCTGGGATTCTGATAGGTTTTTGGGTTGGTTTGATGGTAATCAAGATTGGATCAAGGTAATCTCTCGTAGGAAAAGAAATCAAAATTTTCCAAGATCTACTGTTGCATTTAACGGAAACCTTCGAAAGAATGAGCAAGTTGAACGGAAAAAGAATATTGAGGGTTTTCAATCGAGAGATTTAGATCATCAGACATCTCAACAACAAGTAGGAACCTGGAAATTCAAATCTGGCGGATCTGCTTCATGGAAGGATATATGTACAATGGGTCGAGAGGTAAATCAGAATTGTTCTTTGAAATTTTTTCCACCATCTATTGATAGCAATGGTCTTTTATATGCTGAAATTCCAAGATCTGAAATTCTTATTAATGTTGATAAATGGAATAATACGTTGATTGGTTACGTTCTTGGAGATAAACCTTTCTATTCCCATTTAAAAGGTTGTGTTGGCCGTCTTTGGAAACCAAAATGCTCACTTGAGATTTATTCAAGAGAAAATGGATTTTTTTTCTTCAAATTTGGATGTCATGAAGAGTTAAACAGAGTTTTGAATGGAGGACCTTGGTTGTTTGATGGAAGGTTGATTATCTTAAAAAAATGGTCTGAAAACATTGGTTTAGAAAGAGAGCTTCTCACATCAGTTCCAGTTTGGATTAGATTACCATCTCTACACCTAAAACTTTGGTCAAATAATATTATTAGTCGTATTGCAAGCCTGGTGGGTAATCCTCTTTATATAGATAAAGCAACGGCAACAGGTGAAAGGTTAGCCTATGCTAGATGTTTTGTGGAAATCTCCTCTAGAGCAAAACTACCAAATTCCATAAGAATGGATTTAGGTAATGGAGAATGGTTGGAAACTGATGTGGAGTATGAATGGATACCTCCTAAATGTAACAAATGTCAAAATTTTGGTCATATGGAATATCAATGCCCGGTGGTTATAGTTGAGAAGTGGATTCCTAAATCAACATTAAATGTTGCTGAGATGGAAGAATCAATGCTTGTTGACAATTCTTTAGTCAATGACAATGAACATTTATTACAAGGCAAAACTGGCCTAACAAACGAAGCTGCTGTTATTAATAAGGGCAAGATAAATGTAGAAGCTATTAATTCAGAAGGAATTACTCATGTTGATGATACTATTAATGCTGATCAGTTAGTTACTGAGGTTTTCTTGGATCCTGTTGTTGAAGATCAGGCTAAAAGTGATGAAATAAATGCTCAGGAGGAAACTATTCAATTTAAGTCTGTTCACATTGGCAAAACAGATACCACGGATACATTACTGTTACAGATATCAGAGCCTTTGCAGAATGTTGATACTAATACATACAGCACTGTTTCTATAAATGAATCAATCAATTCTATCACAGCAGGTACTTCAGAAGGGATCTCAAGCGACTCTGAACAAACTACTGATATTATTCCTATTACAGAGAGTACATCTGATCAAGACAAATATAATACAGGTTTCATTGAGCAATCTAGTAATGGTCAAGGTATACATTTTCCTATTGCTACTGATAACCCTGAATGGTTAGCTGTAAAAGAAAAGCTTCTTATGAAGAAGAAGAACCAAGCCAAAGTGAATAAAGATTCTTCAGGTCCAAAGAGGGTTACAAGGGCCTCGACAGCTAATATTTTATGACCATGCTATTCTGGAATGTCAGAGGTATGAATAAACTGGGGAGGAGAAGGGATATTAAAAATCACATTCTATCATTGAAGCCAAGTGTGGTTGGTTTGTTAGAGACTAAGATTAAATCATCAAAAGCCTACAGAATTACAAAATGTATCCCTACACATTGGTCATATTGCAACAACTACAGTGCTTCAAATAGAGGAAGAATATGGGTAGTATGGGATTCAGAGGTATGGGATGGTGTTGTATTACTTGTTAATTTGCAAATAATAACAATCAGGCTTCAAAACAAAGGAGGTTTCACTCTAGTCCTGAGTGTCATTTATGGTGAAAATTCCGAATCTGCAAGATCATCATTATGGACTGATATTAGACAAATATATGATAAATTCTCCACATTGCCTTGGTTATTGGTGGGAGATTTCAATGTTTGTAGATTTACCTCAGAGAAAATAGGAGGTATTCAATTGACTGCCAAAAAACTTCAGGAGTTTAATGATTGTATCCAATCATGTGGTCTCACTGATATTAAGAGTACTGGATCCAAATGGACATGGCATAATAAACAACAAGGTAAAGGCAGAATCTATGGAAAGTTAGATAGAGGTTTGGGTAATTCAAAATTATTTGAACATTTTCCTCAAGCTTTTATAGAGTATAGAAGTACATCTACTAGTGACCATACCCCAATTCTTCTTCATCTATCTCCCAGAATACATACTGGACCTAAACCTTTCAGGTTTTTTAATTTTTGGATGAATTGTCAGGGTTATGAGGAAACATCCAGATATGCTTGGAACAAACACTTTTCAGGAACTCCAATGTTCATACTGGTTTCTAAACTAAAAGAACTGAAATTGGCTCTGAAACTCTGGTCCAAACATTCTGATATATCTTGCTACAGTAACAGCTAGTTCTGTTTTTTTGTTTATTTTAATGTTTTGGGGGTGTTTTTATTGGTTTTTGGGGTTGTTTCATGAGCCTATATATACCCCATGCCCTCATACCTCTAAGGTAACTCAAGAAATGTTTTAAACAAGTTTAAAGAGTTTTAAACAAGGGTTTAAGTGAGTTTTAGTGTTTGTTTGGTTTGAAGATTATTTTCACAAGTGGAGGAGATCATCTTCTTGTTTGGGCTTCATATCTCCATCTCTCCATCTTGATCTAGAGAAGTTTTCCTAAACTCAAGTCTAGCTTTTATTTATAATTATTTGTTGATTATCATTTCTATTAAAGCTAGTTTTATATTGAGTTTAGTTTGATTTGATTTACTCTTTGTTTGCACACACAACCATTGAGCTTATTGTATTTGCATACATTATATAATTGGGTTGTGGGATAGTGTGACATTGAGTTGAGCCTAATTGAGTTCTCACCTTGTTAGAGAGAACAATCATTTGCTATATTGTGCTTAATTGTTAAATCACTTTGTAATACTCTTGTACACCGAGTGAGGAGTGTGTGGTGAGAGTCGGGGATCGTCCCAAGAGGAGTGGCGTCGGTTGACGTGCCTAGGGAGAGGTTGTAACCGAGCACTTGAGGGAGACACGGCTAGGTCCAACACTTAGTGGGTGTAGAGTGTGATTGCAAGAGTGTGAGTTGTAGAGTTTTCGGTTAGCTAGAAAACCGAGTGTGTAGAAGAAGTTCCGGCTTCCAAACCGGATTGTGTTAGTGGATTTCTCCCCGGGAGTGGGGAGCGGAGACGTAGGACGGAAGGTCCGAACTCCGTGATCATATTGCTTGTTTGAGTTTGTCTTTGGCGTATTTGTTTTTGCATTTATCTTATATCGCCAATTGTGCATTACTCATTTATTTCATCCACTATCTTGTTTAGATTTTTTACCCTTGTGTTGTTTATATATCCTTGCATATATACATATTCATCATATAAGATATATCTCTTTGTTTGCATTGCTTATCCTAGCTTATATATCTTGTGGTATTTCATATTTGCTAGGATAACTTGATAATTAATTTTAATTGGCATTTAATCGGACTAGATTAGCGTAAGACCCTAATCACCTCCCCTCTAGGGTCTAACATAGGCGACTCCATCCTCTCCCCCCCCCAAAAAAAAACCCTAATCCCCATGGCACTCTTTATCTGCCTTTGGCGAGCTCTCACCCTCTCCTTCTCCATCATCGACCGCCATTTCTCGTCGATCTCCTCCTCCCCTCGTCTTTTCTCCCCGAAACTCTACCCTTTCCCCCCAAAACCCTAGCCCTCACCCTACCCTGAAGCCTCACTCCCTAATCCGATCCCAATCGTTTCGGTCGTCGCCGGCGTTGATGGACCAATGATTTGATAGCAAGGAGCCGGAGATTGGGCCTGATGATATCTTGTTCGAGGGTTGCGATTATAATCACTAGCTGATTACTATGGATTTCCCAAAGGATCCTAAGAATGCGTCGACGTCCGAGGAAATGGTCGCGACTTATGTTAAGACCGCTGCTATGGTTTTTGGAAGGTATAATTTCTCTGCTCAGTTTGTTTATTATAAAATTTTAGGGAATGTTGTTCGTGATTCATGGCTAGAGATTGTTTTTTTTAGAGGATTCTAGCGAAGTTTATAGGATTATTTTTTTGTTCGTAAATTGAGCACTTTTAAGTGTAATATTTTCTTCTCTCAAACTGGAGAAGGAACAATTTTTATATGTAAGCTCTTGAAATCTCAAACTGGAGAAGGAACAATTTTTATATGTAAGCTCTTGAAAAAGGAATTCTATAGGATTATTTTTACTCCTTTTGATTTGTTTTATTATTTTTATATGTAAGCTCTTGAAAAAGGAATTCTATAGGATTATTTTTACTCCTTTTGATTTGTTTTATTAAAAGGTAATTTCTTTGATTTTAATGTTTGTAAACATAGTACTCGACTGTTCGTGAGTCACAGAATTCTATGGGATCATTAGGGTAATTGCAGTGAATTCAGTAAGCTGTTGATTAATTCCCAGTATCAGTGGTAGAGTTAGTTTTAGCATTTTGGTGATTTATCAAGGAACTATTGTGTACAAACTAATAAATCTAGTTCTTCGGAATCTTGATGAATATGGTAATTTAACAAAACTACACAGTTATGGTATTTGTAACATCACTACAAATGTATAAATTTCATTCCTTCGTAATGTTCAAACTAAATATCAGTACTTTTTTGTGTTAGTTTTGAAGTTCTTGGAGAGTTTAGACACACACTATCACAATGTTCATATAAAGTTATGTGTATGTAGATTCCAACTTTATTTAATTGTAAGAGTTCCCTCTTTTTTTAAATCAATTGCAGTCCATGAATCCGGTAGTAATAGTCGTGGTCCTCAACACAGGAATGGATCGATCAACATAACACACGAGTCAGAGGATCTTGCACATATTTTCTCCCATGCGCCACCCTCGCTTTGTTCACAAGAGGGAAATAAAGAAGAAGTATGTAAGCATGGGAGCTCAAAGGGCCATGGTTATTGTGATGTCAGTGGACTGTGATAGAAACGGTGACAACGATCAGCTCTAGTTGAATTTGCGCTTAGGCGTGAGCTTGTTTTAAACTTTGTTGACGTTCATGATATGCACTTACATGGCAGGGGCAAACGACGACACCCACGAGTTTGGTACCGGGGCAGCGAGAGCGATGACAGTGAAGAGGGTCTACAAGTGAATCTTCGATAATTAGTTCTATTGACTCCGATGATGATGGTTGTATACTCGGTTGGAGGATTCAACTTGTGTTCATTATTTGTTCCCTCTCATAAACTGTTTTCATTATTTATTTGCTTGTGGATCTCCAGCTGTTTCCTTTGTGGATTATGAACCTTTTGCAAAACTTTTTTGGTTCTTTGTTGTCATCTCTTATAAAACTTATCAGTGACGTTAAGAGAAGTGTGGAACATATTATTGCTTTGATAGATTGTTTATTGGAAAATTATGACATTTTCGGTATTTTGATAATCACAGAGAACGAATCAAATCATGTTAGGAGCCTATATACATAAACATGTAAAAAGTTCTTGGTGTTTTGCTTCTACTTTCCTTCTATGTATTCTTCCTATTCCCTCTGGAGTATTGTAGAGAAACAAAACAGAAATGCTATTTACTTTGTTATGTTTGTCGGGCTCGAGTCCATATTGGGTATGATGAATTGCGTTTCTTTTTCTCTGTTCTGCTACAGGTATTGGATTAATGATAAGGCTTATTGTGTGGTTGTGTTGAGTTTGGGGGGCTTGGCGTAAGAGGTGGAAGGGTTAGGGGTAGTTTAGTTCTTTGTTCACTAGTATGAACAGATTTTTATGGAAGGAAATTGGCAGATGAGTGGCTGCCTCCCTCCTTGTTTGGGTTTCGGTGTACAGTAAGGCTTACGAGAAAGTAAAAGGAAATTGGCAGATGAGTGGCTGCCTCCCTCATTGTTTGGGCGTCGGTGTACAGTAGGTCTACAAGTGAATCGTCGGTGTACATATTTTGATGGAAGGAAATTGGCAGATGAGTGGCTGCCTCCCTCCTGTATCCTCCAAATATCAAAGTATGTTCTCCCTATACCCTCTATGTTGTACCGTGCATTTTATTGTATCTTAGTTATAAAGCTTTGCTGCCTGCTGAGAGACCATCATTTTACTGTATTTCAGTGGTCATCTTTTTAATTGGTCTCCATAGTGCTTCTAGGCTGCTATAGTTGGTCGCGGAAATGAATTAGGCAAACCTGTGGATATTAATCAAGCAGCTGACCATACAGGCTGCTATAGTTGGTCGCGGAAATGAATTAGGCAAACCTGTGGATATTAATCAAGCAGCTGACCATATTTTTGGACTTGTTCTGATCTGTGGATATTAATCAAGCAGCTGACCATATTTTTGGACTTGTTCTGATGAATGACTGGAGCGGTAGTCTCAGCTTTATTTCTCTTATGTTTCACACTGCGTTTTGCATGCAACATGTTATAGTTCATGTTTCTCCTAATTGTTCATAAATCCATCTTGACTAAATCAAGTTAATTGGGCTCACCTTTTTAAACTGATTCTGC